TTCGGCAATTTTTGAGCGAGCCAGAAGAGGAGAGATTTAGTAAAATTAAGATCTATGAAAATTTGATTACAGGAAAATTATGCTTTTAGAATTACGAAAAAATTTAAAGAAAACTAAATTTAGTTTTTATGTTCTAGCGAAATAACGTCCCCCGTGGCAAGTGGTGTCCGGCAAACGATCGAGAACTTAAGTACACCTCTTCCCAGTACATTCCCGGATTTCCAGTCCGAACTTTCCGGGATCAGTGTTGGAAATGAGCTTGGCGGAGAGGCTGCAATTGTTCCAGTCGAAGATGAAAGCGACCAGCTGTGGATTGATATTTTAACTCAGGTTTTTCTTGTTTTCCTCAGTATTTGCAGGTATCTATCGCTAGCATTTTGGTCCCAATGTGTCTGATGTACTAAGAATACCAATATCAGCCAACCAGTTGGTATGAATTTTTCGTGCTAGTAGTTTTGTTGCTTCCACAAGCTGAGTTATTCCAAGCTCTTCAATCCCAGATTGCGTGCCTAGGTTCAGCATCCATTATCCGTTCAGTGTGTGAGCAATTAGTTCAAGTACCAGTCACTAATACTCCGAGCCACCAGCTGCCAGTAAGGCGTGTAGCACATCCAGAATACTAATACGAAAATCATTAGTACAATGCGATATAGGCATCTATTCGATCCAAATCGAGATTCCTTGCCAGTAAGTAATACGACTCAGGAAGGCATGATAATGCGAATGTTTTTTTTTCGGAAAAGCCTGACAGCTGTGCACGGATCGGTGAGAGCGTCCCAGTAACATCAGTAACATCACTAACGTGGGTTATCCGCACTGGTGCGTGAACAGTCTTGGTATTTTTGTTGACTGAATACTTTTTAGCGCAATTGATTTTCTTTATGATCCAGGAAAGTGTTAAATTTACCATGTTTTTTACTGCTTTTCGCTTTTGTGGTTTAAAAAAAGGGTTTTTCAGGCTGTTTCACGTTGTGGCAATAATCACAACAGGATAGCTCGATATGCGCAAGCCGTTGTTGATGGTTAGTTGTGTTCTTTTTCTTCAATTAATTCCCCACGAGTGCCACACATACCTTGGGCTATCGAGAGTCATTGTTATTTAGGCGCAGACAAATTTCAGGCCTAGTCATTAACAAGCTTTTTTGTCCTATATGCTCGATGTGCGAAGCCCATTTATTATGAATTCGTGCGTTTCTCCATTTTTAAGATCAGCTTAAAAAAATTTTTATAAATTATTGGCGCGTTTATTGATTCTTTAAAAAACATGCCCGGACATCCATATGGTTTTCCATGTTATTAGAGTTACTGGGATGCTCTCACGCGCCGAGCGTAGCTTTGCCAGGGTCCTTCTTTCACAGTGCGAAAGGGTTTTTAACTTTTAAAGAGAATCTTTTCAACTGCCCTGGGCTAACTTTATAGGTCATGAAGATTTTGATCCAAAAACCGTCTTCCCCAGAGTGTTACGGGAAGCGTTTAAATATAAAAATTTATAGAAGCAATGTCGATATCACTGCGTCTGATCTCCGATCAACGCTATTCGATGATAGAGGAGGATGCGCAATCAACACCGAATGACCCGGATGCTCGGACACGGGCCTGGAACAAAGCTAAAACCGAATTCATCGATAAAATCTACCAGAAATATGAGGGAGCAATTAGGAGCAGAGCTAATCTAAGGTGTCCAGCTAAGATCGACAACAAGCGGCTCCTGCGCAAAGTACGTCGACGTTTACTTTGACGGAGCCAGTCTTTTCAGTAAAATGACAGTTTGTTATATCACGTTTTGTGGCTAGCGTCACCTGCGGTGCAACACGAATTTGAAGGCGCATACGTATAAAGAATATTTGTTTGCATAAAAAATTCGAAAAAGATTAAATTCAGATTTGTCTGATGGAAAATAAAATTCCAAAATACATTGGAGATCCAGTCGGTATGTGCCACTACTGAGTTAAACTATATTTCTCGTTCCTCAAGTTCCTCTCAGCTACTCATTTTTTTAGTGTGCTAATTGTTCGCCTTGATAATTTGATGCCTTTTCATCGCAAGGCAGAATCGCGATATCGATATAATTCATGTCATTTCTGCGATCAGTGCTACCATCAAGCCTGTAATTAACGTGGATGGTCCTTGAAAATCATAGCAACCTTTCGAGCATTGAGTTGATACTACTGAGGCATTAAAAGATTTATCGAAACCGTGAAAATCATAGAAAAAATACTAACAAAACTTGATGGCAACGTGAATTTTATGTGATCTGGCATTGCCAATAGCATGTCCAGTAAATCTCAATTCCAAAGACTTAATTGCTCATGTACTCATACTTATTTTGACTCGTTGTTTCTCCGACTATGCAGTTGACGACTTTTTGAATTGCTTTGAACAGAACTGCAACGCCTGGTGGTTGGCCCGCTGACGGTCCTGAAGCTAGGTACGTCTCTTGGAAGGAGGACCAGTTCAACAATTCTTCTGATAAATCATTTTGGGCAAGATTTTATCCGTCTGGAGATGTCCTAGTGTGTGAAAAAGCATCTCGTTTGGAACATAGCCGCTTTTAGACTAAAACGAGGTACTTTAACGACTGAGACAGTTGAAAAAAATTATTTACAAGGAAATGGTCTGCTTTAACACATTGATCAGCTGCTGTTTCTTCCTCATTTTTCCTCTTTCCACCGACACAAATAGCAACATTTCAAGTTTATTCTATTTAAAGCTCACTGCTTCCATGTAAGTCTAAACAAGAATTCATGTGGACTTTTTCGTTTAACTAGAACTTTCTCAGTGTATGTATAACATTGTTTAATACCAGTCGGCATTGTTTTGTCCATCTGTTGTCTCTCATTCTGACCAGCCCAAATTAATCTTTTTCACCTTGTAACATTCGTTATCGTCAAACTGGAGACACAGAAATACGTTGCAATTTGCTGACACTTGCCATGCGTCATTCCGTGGCTCAGAAATTCACGAAAAGCGTGATATTCCATGTTTCATTTCCATAAAGCAGAAATGTTAATGCAGTGGAAACGAAAAATGTCGCTTTCAGAGTCAATGTTTGTTGTCGATTAAAAAGGTTGTCTTGTAATAAAGGTTGTATATACTGATTCTGAAATGCACCAATGACTTCAGCCGAGTAGCCAGCGACTAGGGGTGTTAAGAATCTCAATTGTTGAATCAACAGTGTAATAGGCCTTTCGACTGCTACTCAAGGATGAAATCAGAAATCATCTCCAGGAAATCAGCAACCTAATGAGACAGTAATTTACATGAAATCGGATAAATCAGATAGATATTCCAGGAGTGGCTGAGGTATAGAATGTTTTATCAGATTATATTCAGCGTATTTGGATTTTTGTCCATCCGAATTGGGCCCACTCATATTTTCGCTTGACCGCCTTTGTATTGAAATTTTGAAATAGATTTGCAGTGCAAATATTCATTTTGTCAAAAACTGTCATCAGATTAATCGATCAGGGGTTTCCAGCCTTGCCTGCTCCTCTTCTCTTGCTTCCATCCCCTTCTTTTCTACAACTTTCACGTTTTTCAAGATTCTAATACCCGTTATTCCTAATACAAGGAAAATGAAAAACACCTCCAAAAAAAAGAGTGGAAAAGCAGCTAAAACATGTCTGCCATTAAGGAAAAGCAATTTTGCGAAACACCTCTGTCACCGATATCCATGTTCTTCTCCTCCTCCCTCAGCGCTATATTCCACTTCCTATCTTGTCAAGCCTATGCGTTCATGCGTTTTTGCAGTAAGCTATTGCACCTTATTAGACAAAAATAATCATATGGAAGTCCAACCAACTCGTCGGAGCAAATAGAAGCTCCGAGGAGTTGAACCGTGTTCCAACTGACGACGTTTCGATCCATTCAAAGCAAAAAACCGAAATCAAACATGTGATATGAATCAGAGCGCGAGGCAATTTGGTTCATGGTCCTAA